CTCCAATTTGAATAATTTAAATATTTAGTTGTGTCGTCGAAAAATCAGTATATCGAAAAAAAATGTAAGCATTTTATAAATGAGAAACAACATAGAACCAGTAATATGGCTGAGTGGGATGGAGTGGGATCTCTTAGAGTCTTGCCCACGAGTGGGGGGAAAAGCTTGAGTCTGAGTTTCTCTGAATGAATGAATTTAGTAAATATTGTGTAAAAATATGTTTGTCATTAAGTTGTTATTTTGATTCTTATATATATTTTTTGCTTATATACATTTAATTTTAATTATATTATTTTGCTGTTTAATTTATGTTCATTTGTTGTACATAGAGTGTGAAAGTGCTAACTGAACACTTATAAATATCCTTAATTGATACAGATTGTAATAGTTCTTAATAAACAAATTCTAAAAAAAAAATTGCTGTATAGAAATGAACTTACACTTCTTTATCTGTATAATAAGCAATTAAAAAAAATAAAATAAACTTTTATCTCCTCTATTACATTGTAGCACATACTAATTTTAATATTAAAATTGATAAAAAAAGAATGAATAAAATAAAAAGATAAACATGTTAGGGGAACTAACGTTATTCATGAATGACATTGTGGTAAAATTAAGGCATTACCAACAGACTGACTTGGGATAATTTTCTTTTAAATAAATGCTCGACCTGTTCAAAACTCAGATTTAAATATCTTTAATAAAAAAAAGTTCTTACAAAACAATTATCTACATATTACTTTATGAGGATGAGTCATAAAGTGATCCTGAATATTTTTTATATAATATTTTCTTCTATTAATTTATATAATTATTTTCATTTGTGTATGTCAAAATTTCGGGCACATCTTCATATAATTTTTTTTTTTATGTTATGTTTTCCATTTCATATGAAAAAAAAGTTTTTCAACATTCATGTCTTTGTCATTCTTAGTGTGAATATAGGAAAACAAGGAATCATATTGCGTTTTTTTAGTAAATGAAGTTGCCAATTAATCAATTAAACCTATTGACAACAATAATAAACCTATTTTTCACACAAGAAAAGCACTTTATCTTGACAAAATTTTCCCAATAAACAAAAGGTGAAAGAAATTTGACATTCTGTACTTCAAGGCAATAAGGCCATTTCTAGAAAACTTTCAGTAAACCTAATTTTCCGTTCTTTGAGTAGGCCGAAACAAACATGTTTTTGGATTCCGTGAGTTAAGTTGAGCAAAGTTGAAAGCAAGGAAAGAAGGTTTATGTTTTGTTGAAAAAAAGTTCACGAAAACCTTCGCAGCATTTTAAAGGCCGTAGGCTGAAAACAACAAACAGTTTTAGAACTATCAGATATGCAGAAAAACAAGTGGACAAGCCTTTCATAAAAATGTTGCTTCTAAAATATTGCCTGCAAAGCTATGATAAATAATATTGTTTTTGTTGTATATTCTTGTGAAATTTGTTTAACTTTTTGTATTTTAAAATAATACCCTTTATTTTTATTTATTGTACATTAAGTAAAAATGAAATCCTGTATCATTATTTCTAATCTCCTTAGTTCTAACCGAATGTAATATTACTCAATAAAGAAAATCTTTATGCTAAAAAATAAAACCCAGATTATTCCTCTTAGAATACATACATAATTACCACGAATTAGAGATTAAACTTGAGTTTTAAACAACACTCAATGTGGCTTTAGTGCCCTTTCTCAGTACCTCCCTCCCCCTCACTGGATACCCATCATTCTTTACTTTTGTCATAATTTGTTTCTATTTTTTTTTTTGTTATTATATATATATATATATATATATATATATATATATATATATATATATATATGTTATGAATGGGTCTCTAACATCTCAAATACTAATGCCCTTAAATGAGGTAAAATAAATTTTTTACTCGATAAATAAATATTTAAAAAAAACAACGCACAGAAATATTTAATTATATAATTATCGTTGAAATTAGTGTTGCCCAAAATAGGTCTTGCTCTTGCGCTTTGCAAGACCAAGGCCGCCTAATTGTTGCAAGACCAAGACGAAGACTGGGAAAAAAAATCGATTTTTTAAATAAAAATTAAGACAAAATAGTTACTAATGCTTGACAATTTTAGTTACTATATGTAAAGAATTGGTATAACCAATATACTTTTGCATTTAATTCTTTTAATTTTTCATTAGGTTTACTCTATCTAAAAAAATACAGTAATATTATTACAGTACTAAGCTAATAGGTAACTACAAGACCGTTGCGAGACTCTTTCGCAAGACCAAGACCTAGACCAAAACTGAATTTGCAATATCAATACTCGTCTCGGTCTTGTATTGGGCCACATTAGTTAAAATAATTATTTATTTTTAAAAATAATTATTGATTGATCCATTTCTTTGGGTTAATTTTTATTTATTATGTGCTAAATATTTAACTGCGTATCTAGGACGATAATAATAAGGAATATAGAACACGGATGTATATTCTTGCCTATGTAAAAAACATTATCAGGGGTTGTTTTATTATATGAATAATAAAATTTATTATTAATCTGGTCGACTAGTTCAGGAAACGTCACAACCGAGTTTAATGTACTTCATAAAACGCAGCTGGCGAAGGTTGCTTGACCGTTGTTCCTCGTCTTGTACTCAAGCCTATTGTTTCAAAACGTAGTATTAAACATCTATTAATAACTTAATAAAACCTAGGTTTAATTAATGAATATAAAAATAACCCTAATAAAACCTTACTGGTAAAGATTTATAGCCTATCATCGTAAGTGTTCTGAGAACACTGCTTTCTGCATATTTGTTTTTTAAATTTATTTATTCAGAAATATTTCATTATGTTTCAATTGAGGGCATCTATAATATAGATCAAGGAGCACATTCACACTATATTTATAGAAAACATAGATAAATAAAGTAACAGCAACAAGAAGTAACAGCAGCAAGAAGTTAGATTTAAAAAAAAAAATAGCAAAAGTTAATAAATTAATGAAATATAATGTACTTTAAAAAATAAAATAAACTTCGACAGTTTTTTTATTTATTTATAAAGGAGTCAACAACTAGGTTCATTATTGCATTGTGTCAATGACTAGAAAACCGGACTCTAATTATAAATAATAAAACAAATCTTATAGAGGCTAATTCAGAATCGTATACACTCGTAAAAATATAAACATTAACTGGCCCAATATATAAAATTAAAAAAAAAAAAAGATCTGTACTGAATATTTTATATTTTTCTTTGGCTGGTACATTATTGCAGTCAAATTACAGTACAATATTGTACTATGTATATATGTTCATATTTTTAAATTATGTGATAAATTAATATCTTAATAATTTTGTGATGATTTATCAAAATAATAATAAATATTAATAATAATTTTGTTCTTCTGTAACTCATCAAATTCATTGGCTGTCTTCATTTTAAAGACTTGTGGATTAACAAGTTAATATAAACTGAAAAAATATATTAAATGAAATAATTAATCAAAGATAGATTGTTGGTAATTATTTTCAATTTATGTAATCCCATTTTTTTCAAATTTAGTAACACCTTGGTACGTGACTAACAAAACTCTACATACTGACCTCCACTTCCCAACAGTTGACCAACATATAACGATCCTATATCAACGATTTTACACAAATTTAAATGGACATAATAACAGACTTATAAGAGACATGGCCACAGCTTACATACCTCAGAACATGAGCAGGAGACTAAAAAGGCGTTGGATGAGAGATCTCCTTCCTTAGACAACCTAAGTAATTGGAACAAGTTAGGGAAGAGGTACTGCTGAGTACTTTCCTTCCCCATGCCTGTCATGTAAATAATAATTTCTGTCATTATATCATTATCGCCATCACATTTGCTGATTGTCAACTTATTGTTGACAGGGGCAAATATATATTTTATAGACAAAAAAAAAAAAAAAAAAAAAAGTAACACGCCTTTTTTGTGTGTAGTGATGTTTATTGAAATTTCGACAACAATATTTTGTAAAAACTAGTCAACAAATTTAACTTTATACATTTTTGGTAAAGAGGGCTTTCATTCGTGAGGACACGTACTCTAAGTATATATTACATACAATATATGACGTAGTAAATATAATTGTGTATAATAATAGTGATATATAATGATTATATATGTCTTAGTAGAGCTAAATACGGACTTTAGTATACCTAGTTGTTATGCCACGTTTTCATAACTTTATAGCAGTTAGAACGGTGACGATTGAGGTATAATAATTTATAAATCATGGGTAAGCCAAAGGTAAAAAAAAACTAAATTTTTTTTTAATTATACAAAATGATTTTTTTTCCGGCTTCTTGGAGCCCTATTGGAACAAACGCCGGAACATGTGTCTGATATTAGGCGATGTATAAATCTCCCCCCCCCCAAAAAAAAAATAGTTGAGTTTTTAAAAGCATATACCTCCTATTAGAGTTGACCTTTTACATAATTATATATTTTTCATTTAGAAATAAAATAAATACATTTGTCAAAGTACTTTTTTTTTTTGTTTATTCATTGATATTTACAACTGTATTATAAAAAAAAAAATACAACTAATAAATGTGCACACAGTAATAATACAATCACATGAAACAGCTTGTTGAGAAACTACCCATTGGTAGCACTCTAATAATATATTTACATAAGTAGATCACGAGGCCATCTTCTTTTCAGACTCCTCGGAGGGTTGTCTAAGTACTAAATTAGTAAAAATGGAAATTGAGCCCAATACCAATACAGATATACTACAGATATAGTTGTTTCATGTTAAAATGTTTTTTCGGTACAATAAGTTCTCTATATTTCTTCTCATGATTTGTATTTGGCTAGGTTTCAAGTACATTAGGGTTGAATCTTGGGGTCGATAGACTTTTTTTTTTTTTTATTTCGTGTAAAAGCTCTTGTCAGTAGAAGATTAATTTATTTGTTTTATTTATAAATTTTATTAATATATTGATATTAATAAATTTTCTTTGCTTCAGGAATTATGACACTGACGAGAGCGCCGTGTGACCTGGACGCCATGAGTCTATTCCAGGACCTCAAGCTGAAGAGGAGAAAGGTCGACTCAAGATGTTCCAGTGATGGTGAGCAATTATTAATTATTTAATTATAATTTTTACAATATAAAGTATAATATTTAACTTTATAATATTATGTAATAGACTCTCTTGTAAGCGGACTCTCTCATATCTGGTCGGCCAAATACTAATGTAAAAAAATAAATAATAAAACGCCGAAACGAACCAAAGAAATAGGGATTTTACTTATTTTTTATGTATAATGTGTTTATATATACATGTATGTCTATGATCACAATCGTCAAGTTAAAAATGAGAATTATACACATTAGACGAAACTATGGATAATAGGTGATAAATAGTCAGGACACAGTCCTTCTTAAGATTTTTATGTTTAAGAGCTCAATGAGTACTTGAATACCTTCAGTGCTGGTAACATACTCTGATGATGACCCACATGCTTGGGTTGATACGTCGCCAACAATAAAAATATTTTTTAAAAAACTGAGGTATGTTCTTTAGATCACACAATACAATACAAGTGAAAACATCAACAAAGCAAGGTTAATAATATGAAATATAAATTAAAAATAATAACTCAATGTAAAGAGGATATAAGGCTGAACATATCCCCCGCTTACAGTATGTGAATCCGATTTTTAGTTCCTGAGATAATTTAATCCATGTCTTCAATAAAAATCTTTATAATTTTGTTTCCGACACTATTGTTTCCTTTTCGCCTCCCTTACATGGCGTCGCGTTAAGATACAATTTTGAATTATAGTTCATTACAGAGATTATGAACATTTCCCTCGCTAACAATAAAGAAGGTCCGATGTTTAATTTTTGAGATATTTTAATTCATATACAAAAACAACCCAATTAGTCGACTCCAGCCGACTTCACCCGAGTATTGCTCATCGGAAATCTGACGACTCAATCTAGTTTCCTCTCCACAAAAAAGTGAAAGAAGTTTTCACTTAAATGACTGAGTCCTGACTATTTATCGCCAATGATATATACTACAGTCGACTAACTGACTTCAATGGAGAGAATTAATATTATTGGAATTTGAATAAACACAATAAAAAATATATAATTAAATAAAATTTTATGTGTTACTATTTAAAAAAAAAAACGAATTATTTGAACCTTTCTTTATTTCGTATATATACTAGTCACTCTCCCATATTCAATTTTTTTCTTATCCGGATCACTCCTGATCAGATCAATCCGGATATGGGAGAATCTGTTGTAATTGATTTTTTCTTCATAAATATATTATTTATGTAATAAATATTGAAAAAATGGTTTGAAAACTTTCGATTCGTATTTACTAACCCCCTAAAAATAAAAATAAAACTCTATTTTGAAAATAATTAATGTAGCAGTAGTAAACTAAAATTTTGTAATTGTATTACTCCTTAAAAAAATATCCAATACGAATTTATTTTTTATAGTTATCTTATATATACTTTTTTTTTATTATTAAAAACAAAATTTGAGTACTTTTGAATTGAGATCACTTGAAACTTTTATTGAGGTTATTTAAATTTATTAATACAAATTGGATTGTATTAAATATTTAGCACGAATTGGATTTCTGCGAATAGGGATCATGTATATAAAAAGTTTAAAACAATTTCAATTAAAACGGTCTCAACTGCACGATGCATAAATTGCTTAAATAAATAACCAAGCAACTATACTAAAAATACATTTATAAATAAATATTATGAATAAATAAATAAGTTATCCTCACAATGCAGAGTGTTATTAATTGAAATCAAATTTGCAAAATCAAACAATAAATAAAGTCTCACGAAAAGAGATCACACACAAATTGGTAATAGTATATACACAAATATTATAAAAAACAAATAAATTAAATTTTTTTCTATTGATTGTTATTGTTTCTATATTTATTATTATTATTTAAACCTTCTTACTATTCATATATTTTTTGTTTATTTACTTGTTATTTTTTATGTTATTACCAACAATTCATGTGTCATTTCACATTTTAATAAGGAACCAAACTATGGAATGGGAAATAGATAACAATTTCCCAATATATTTCTACGATACGATCTGCTACTATCAGGTGTTAAATGGTATTTATATTATATGACAGTATTCTAAATTAGCTGTTACAAAGCAAATAATTGTTTTAAAAATATATATAGAAATATAATATAGCAAAAAAGCAAGCCTAGTATACTTGATTATTTGTTATGGTTTTATTGAGTATTTTGGATGAAACATTAGACATCATGGTTTTCATTTTTTAAATTTTATATTAACTAAATAATTGTTTAGATAAATATTGAAAATATTAGAATTACCTTTATTGAATGAAATTTACTTTGTTGAAAAGATACGGTTTACTATTACATATACGTGAATAAATAATTTTTTGTTGTAGTCGGTATTTATTTATTTATATTATCCAAAATTAAACAGATTTCATTCTATTTAATTAATTTTTTAATGAAAGCTTCTAAGTTTATGTTTATGGACAACACAAATATACACAACCCATATTTACTTACATAAAATCGGTATTAGTAATATTAATTCAATTTATTATTATTTTTTTTTAATACGTTATCTTATCTAACATATCCATTGCGTTAAAATATTACACCTAATCCCTCCACTTCTGTAAATAGTTTTATCTCGACATTTTTTCGTCAGAATGAGAATTATAGTTTCGTCATTAAGGAATAATTTTTTTCAGGTGTAAACCCGAAAAACTAAATAAAATACACAAAAGTCCGATATGCCGGCAGAAATGGAAAAGACGTTTAACTGTGGATTGGATGGTGTAGACTCCAATCTCATTGTCAGTGCGGGAAATCATATCATTCATTACGGTAAGCCAAAAGGGAATAAGGAGTTGGAAATATATCTATCTTAAACCGATTTAGTATATAAGCTATTCTTCTCTTTTTATTATTAAAAATAAAAAAATATATAAAACAAAACAGTATTTAAACAGAATTAAAATAAAAAATATTCTTCCTATACAATCCGCTGTTAAAAATCTTCTATTAAATAAGGAAATGTTCTACTGTTTATTTTTTTCTTAAGAAAAAAAATATATTAAAGCAATTAAACCCAATTATTTTATTGGTAAATTAATATCATAAGTATAAAATTGTAACAATCAATTAATATGTTTTTCTAATATAATATCAGTTTCTTGTATATTTAAGAATAATATAACTTCAATTCAAAATTAACTAATGTTTTTATAAATTTACTGTGTATTTTTATATAGAGTAATAATCTATTTACATTCAGTATTATTTTTTCTACTAAACTTTTATCTTTATTATTCGAACGTAAAATGTTCTGCATGAATTAATATCAATTATTTTTCGAGTTTTTATTATTATATCAAATAAATCCAAATTTGTTAATAATAATTGGGTTTAAATAATAATTGTCTCACTCAAATTGAAAAATTAGGTTTCGTTGATTATATTTTAATATTTAATAAAAAATATATAAATAAATATATGCATGATTATACTTTGGTATACGAATATGGCTAACATACTAACTGCTTATATCGATTATACTATCGTTACTAACTCATCGAATTAACTATAATTGCTACTGGTGCTTGCAATATATGAATGTTATACACTTTATCCCTATTTAGATCATCTATTGTTTGAAGAAATGCAGATGGGATTTCGAAATCGAATAAAAAATAAAATAACAATGAATAAAATATAAGTATTACTAGATTGAAAACATTTTAATTTTATTATTTATCATATTTTATTTCTTAAAATTTTTTTTAAAAAATAAAAGATATTTTTTAGTCAATAAGAGGCCCTTCGATCAAGAGAGCGTGGATCAATGGATTTTATGAGATATTTTTATCACCTAATTTGTGAACCTACTTAGATATTTTATTTACCATTTGTTTAGCCTTCAGTGAATTTTTAAAAATTTCGTTGCTCGTTCAGAATGCCGAGAAAAAAATTTGTTTAGGGAAAAAAATGTATAGTGGATGTGCAGTCACAAATGAAAAGGCATCATTATTTTTTTATAATTGTTATGGTAGTTATTTATTATAATTTTTTTAAAGTGTCTAGATATTCGTAAACATTAAATGTAATAATGCTGCTAAAAGAAAGTTGGTCTCCTTTTCTTGTAAATCCCTAAGAGTAGGAACTCTGTAAACAAAAATAGTAATTTAAATCGTATTTATTCTGCAAGGATTACATATCGGTTTTAAATTCTGTTTAGTTAAATGTCAGTTCAACGTGTGGCTTATGAGATCGTATTTTTTTTGGTTTTAATTTTCGGAATGTACGATTTAAGTCTTGAAGTTCGTGCTAGTTTTCGGTGAATATTATGTGAAAGGCTAAAACGCCACATAATTCTGTGTACAAGAGAGCTATGAAGTGAAATAGAACGATTTTGTTTCTCTGCGTGCTTGATAGTTTTGGTTTATACAATTGATTAAAAGTGAAATGACCTTTAAAAGTAAGTCTCTTTCAGTTCACTCTCGTTCGGGCAGCGAAGTTATGGCTGATGAGATGGAAATCAATTACACGAGTAATAGAACATTTTTAATTGAAGAGAAGAATAGTTGGTGTGATCAGTAAAAAAAAATATATAATATATATATATATATATATATATATATATATATATATATATTAAAAATAAATAATTATATTTATTTTTATATTTGCCGACGTTTCGGCTCAATGTTCAGGCCTTCATCGGGGTTAGTCATGTATATAAACGTCAACAAATACATTGGGCCGAAACGTCGGAAAATATAAAAATAAATATAATTATTTATTTTTACTATTTTTTTTTTGTACTGATCATCCAGCCTTTCTTCTCTTCAATTGTCACAGCTCTTCACTTTCCAGCCCTCATGAAGGCTGAACATTGGGCCGAAACATCGGTTGAATATAAAAATAAATATAATTCTTTATTTTTATTATTTTTTGTTTGACTTATCACTCCAACCATTTTTTTCTTCAATTATTTTAATTATTAACTATCAAACATTTTCAATTGTACTTAAATGT